TGGGTGGGTGGACGGACGATGGGTAGGACTGAGGAATGGATGGATAAATGGATGGATGAATGAAGACGCCCTTGACTGAATTTCTAACGCGTGATCTGACGCCTAAATATGCGGAATGGCCAGCAAAAGGTTGCGCAGCACGATCAGTCATTTTTTTACTAGCAGACGCTGCCTGCGTCACGCCTTGCGAGGCAAGAGAGAGGGGGGTGAGAGTTTTGCGAGTGTCTTCCTAGGCTGGCATAACGCTTGAGACGCGATGATGCAAAGTAAGGGTGTGGATGGGGCCACCGCTGGCGCCGAAGCGCGACATCGTGCGACTAAGAATTGCTCTGGATTTATAACATAGTATAACATCATCTCCTCGTGCCATGTGACGCATTCCATTGATCTAAATCCCCGGAAGGTTCCTGGCGTACGCATCAATGCGCCAGTGCTTCCAGGATCTAGGTGAATTAGTAGATACAAACGGGGAACAGAAAAAATGTGCTAAATTGCGCAAAAAGGGTGCCTTCTACTGTTAGAGGTGAAACTAAATAAAATAGAGAAAGTTTTGTTGTCCATTTGTTAAAAACACACTGAGGACAGAATGAATAACTTAATCAAGACCATAGTAAAAATTCGCAATGTGAATTCGCTGAGTAAAAATTCACCAAGTCACCGTTCATACCTTACGTCCCCACGGGCCTCTCATATTCGCCGATTTGGCGAAAAGCAACTAACAGTGGCAAGTGATGTCGTTTTACAGAAAAAAAACACGGAAAGTACATGTTCTATGTTTTGAGAAAGTTGTACTAGAAATAAATAAAAGTATAATACAGTGGAGTTTTTGCGCGTGCGCAAAAAAAAAAACAAGTTTCGCAGAACTAAACAGCCATGCTCAGTGACACACCAAGCCTAGAACTGTACGAAAAGTATACTATAATGACACCTATGTGATAAACCCTAATTATTTTGTCAAGCGATTCGATGTCAGCCAGCTGTGTTTAAACAGAACAACAGGTCTATACTGACGGTCATATGCCTACTGTATAGGCACTTCGGAACCCTCTAAGTGCTGGTATAAGAAGATACTTAACGATGCCGTTTGTTTCTTAAAAGCGGTTACGCCCATGATGGCCAAGTATCACACATTGTCATTTTGAATGCTTTGCTCGAGAAATTATATGTACGAGGAAGGCTACAGGTCTTTGTTAGCACTGCAGAATATCGCCTTTTTTGCAAGGCAATATCGAGTATGTTTAAGTTTGCATTTGGATTATTTGGACGCCATCACACATGCAGGCTGAAAAGTCGGTGTAGCCAATCTAACATCGACGTCGTACGTACTATCATTGATGTACGGTCAGATTCACATGACCAACTTCAATTACTAAGCGTATATCTCGCAAAAGAATGTGATCGTGCCTTTCATCTCCTTGTTTTATTTTATACAACACTCATGAAGACTATTCTTTGGCGGAAGGAGTGAAATTTGTTATAATCGCCATTCTGCTCCACTGATTTCAATCTGTCATATTTTGGAAGGCTTAGTAATCCACGCTTCTATATTGCAAGGATATCTTTTGTTGCCAGTTTTAAGTTCATTGATGTTCTATGTACAGAGCCTTTCTCTCCATTCACTTAAAAACTTAAAACTATGGCATTGCACATCATTCAGTCTTGTGATATTGTTCCATGAATTGAGACGGGACATGACTATTTCGCAGTGTATTGACACCGATAAAATCAGAGCGCAGCACACAGAGCGGGCAAGCTAGTCCTCTTCGTCAACGTCTGTCCACAGAATGGTTCTCCCTTCATGCGATAGATACGTACCATTAATCCACAGTTCTAAAAGCACCGGCTCGGTGCCCATTATACATGTTCTTCAGAAGGAGGGCGGCATGGTTTCAGCCTACTGACTTTTCCCCGAGGGTGAACATGGTTAAGTGCGAATGCGAGGGGCGATTCTACGAGGGGGAGTAAAGTTAAAATTCGTTGGCATTCGCCAGGGAGTTAACGTAAACTTCCCCGTGTGATCGCATTGCGACTCCCAGGAACCATTAGACCCTCTCGGGAAATCTTGAATTGAATTGAATTGAAGTTTATTTGTCCTGAAATTCTTACAGGATCGGAAGCAGAGGCTAGAGGCTATATAGCCTGACATGGGGCATCTGCTCGTAAATACAGTTTGGCACGCAGGCCGCTCAATCTGTCGCATATGTTTTAAGAAATAAATATATAACACAACAAATAACACACATAAATAAATAAATAACACAATAAATAAACCATAACACAACAAAATTTAGCATGGTCTTGTTACACAATTTCAGGGAAAACATTAGAAAATCACTTTATCACAAAAGCGTCATCTGAAAAGAAACTTCATCAATACAGAATGTAAAATAAAGCATAAAAAAGTAAACTTCAACACATAACTCAAATTCATCGATAGGATGTAACAAATCAAGTAAAGAAACTTTAATAAGCATACTCAATATCATGGTTCATTAGGATGGACTTCATAATAGTGTTCGAAGGTACGGAATTGAAATCTATGAGACCGTGTAAACGATTTAACATTGTGGGTATTTGATACTGAACGTGTTGCTTGCCATAACTTGTCCTTATTGCTGGGATTTTCAAGTGTTACTGACGCATGGTATAATGAGTGTTGTCAGGCGGGTTCTGAAGACACTGTGGCTTGTTTTGTTTAATCCACTGCAGAAGTTTGAAATGATACAGTTTTGTTACTGTTAGTAATGCGTATTTTTCAAAGAGTGGTTTGGTTTTCAAGTCCCTGATAATACCATGGCATTGCTCGAATGCTCGCAAAACTCTTTTTTGCAGAACTAGTAATCTTTGATAGTTTGTTTGTGTAGTAGTACCACATACCAAGATACCGTATGTATTCTTTAAGTAGAAAAGGGCATAATATAATTCTATTTGTAATCATTTTGGTAAGACTGGGCTGAGCTTATATAAACATCTAACGGTTATACGGAGTTCTATCATTAGTTTTTCTATATGTGTGTTCCATGTCAGGCCTTCAGAAAACCATACACCTAGGAACTTCTGGCTGGTGACTTGCTCTATCTCTTTGCCCTCAAATGAAACAGTTGAGCTATAGTTACGCGGCTTATTAGGTGGGGCAGGACAATGTATTTCGTTTTACTAAAATTTACTTGCAGTTTATTCAAGCTAAGATACGCGGACAACTTTCGTAGGTAGTTAGTAACCTGGTGTTCAAGCTCTAGAATGGATGTGCCGCCAAAGAATATGCTAGTGTCATCGGCATACATTATTAACTTGGGAAAACATGGGATATCACACAGGTCGTTTATATAAATTATGAATAATAGAGGACAAAGAATTAACCCTTGTGGTACTCCTCTTGTTATGTTTAAGTAAGTGGATGCACTTTTGTTTATGCAAACATATTGATGACGGTTTGTTCGAAAGTTTTTAATTAACTCAAGAACCACACCACGTACACCATACTTGCTAAGTTTAGCCATTAGTACTTCATGACATACCGAATCAAACGTCTTTCTAAAGTGTATGAGCAAACCTAGAGAGTGCAGCCTATGTACGATGTTTGTGATCATGTTTAATATTTAGGAAAGCTTAACATTAAGCTTGTCAGTCAGTATTATTGGTCAGTTTACGCGTATATGTGAGAGTGAATTCGCACTATAATGATGTTTATGTCCACGGCCTGCTTCGCCCGCTTGCGCTCGGCATCACGGGCCCTTCGCCGCGCTGCCTTGTCTTCAACCGGTGCGACATCTTCAACGACGCGTGAAATGCTCACATTCGATTGCGTTGCGCTCGTTGTTAGAGGTATCGCAGTTGAGGTTGATGTCTGCGATAGATCCATACCTATGACGACTTGTCGATCTCGAGCAAGTCGTGGCTGGCGTGCGCAGCCACGGAGCGGAGGGCGGAGCGCGCGCAATCACGTGGTGTGTGACGTCGCTGTGCCGTTGCTGCAGAAGGTCCTCTGCGCTTGTCGTGCCGTTGCTAGGGGAGAGGAGGAGGCGCACTGGCGGATTCAGGGTCGCTTATAAAGTGCATTCACTGTTAAAACAGAGCTAGCACATAATGCGGTCCTTGTCCATGTTTCTCGTTCATTTTTAAGTGTGAATACACTTTATAAGCGACCCCGAACCACCCACCGCCGTCGGCGGCGTCCGCAGTCTTCTCTCTATCTTTAAAAGAAAGAGGACTTGGCGGGCCGCAGCGCGACGCTCTACCGAATAAGCCACGGACGCGACGCTGATATCGGTGTCAGTAACGCGCCTTATATCTTTAACGCCGCTGCGCGCGTCCCCCTCCCCCTTTGCTCGCTCCTCCGCTCCTCAGGAGAGGGAGTAAAGTTAAAATCCGTTGGCATTTACCAGTGAGTTAACGTAAACTCCCCCGTGTGATCAAATTGCGATTCCCAGGAACCATTACACCATAAAGGCACCATAGTGTGATTAATAAATATAATAGTGCGAATTATTAAATACCCCTCATAGCATCACCCCGTGCATTCGCACTTAATGATGTTCACCCTCGGGGAAATGCTTGGGAGTTTTTTTTTAATAGAGTACCACTTACCTAAAGTCAATCCTAACCTCGAACAAAACACCGGCTTAAAGAAACACGGCAGCTAGAGCTAGCAAAGCAGCGTCCGTGGTTGATGGATGACAGGAACGTGAACATCGCGATAACTTTCCAAGCAGATGGATATGTATTTCTTGCTATCATCGAATGACACTAAACAAATGAATCTGAAGTGTCACCATATTCCCATTCTAGAATAATAAAAAGTGAATCTATGTTTGTCCTTGCGATTTATGAGCACAACGCTAATTGAAGTAATCTGGACCTAGAGTCTTGGTCAGTAACGTAGTGGCGGCTTCTAAATGAGTATGTTTCGTTTGGACACGCATCTGGCATTTCATTTTTGACATTCTACAAGAAGGCCTCACACCAAACACTTTTCTAACGTCAATACATTTGTTGTATAGGTGACCATAAAAAACCATACGCCAACATGACGCTCGTTTACAACGAATCATATTGTAGTGTATTCTTGACAGAATATTGGCAGGAACCACGGCCAGGTAAGTTTGCATCCTGTACTAAACCTGAAGTTCTCTCTACTTCGCGTACGGTAGTGGCACGAAGGATATTTTTCTGCAGTTTTGTAGGCTATTATGGCTTAATGAAGTTCAAAACTTATTTTGGTATAAAATAGTGAATTTCATAAAAGCTACAGGCCTTTTAAAAATCAGGTATGTCATGGCAGCATGCTTATTGAGGTGCCAGAGTTAGGTTTTAAGCGTCTTTCGATTAGCGCTCCCTCGATTGTGAGAGTTACGACAGGACGATGTTACGTTAGAGTTCCTACTTCAATTACAAGGGCATACAGCCTGCTATGAGACTGCTGAATTGTACAAACAGAGCTATTGAATCTATGATCATATGCCACTATTAACTATTTATTCAAAGTACGGCAAGTTTAAATGAGTAAGAAATGCGCATATACGTCTATAGATTATCGACGCTCCACCGCGGTGGTCCAGTGGCTAAGGTACTTGGCTGCTGAACCCCAGGTCATGGGATTGAATCCCGGCTGCGGCGGCTGCATTTCCCATGGAGGCGGAAATCTTGTAGGCCCGTGTGCTCAGATTTGGGTGAACGTTAAATAACCCCAGGTGGTCAAAAGTTTAGGAGCCCTTCACTACGGCGTCTCTCATAATCATATGGTGGTTTTGGGACGTTAAAACCCACACATCATACCATGCATGATAAACTTTCGTTGTTTGGAACCACACGCTTTTTTATGATAGATGAACATAAATTTTACGAATGGGATGATAAAATTCGAAAGGAGGTGGCACGGCTGTGCCGTGCTTACTGGGGCAAACGTTCTTCGCAGGATGTCACCTCCACCTTCTAAAGAGTGCCGGGCAGAATAAAACTGCGCAGCTTCTTCCCTCTTTTCTGCGCTAATACAACAGTGAGGCGAAGTGTTTAGACACCACAAAAAGAAGGATTTTTTGTTCAATAAAAACAGTCGCAGCCATTGTTTCAAGGTGATCTAGACACACCTTGTGGGAAAAGTAGGACGGTATGTTGTAGAGAGCTCCTGCCTCTTACGGTGTTATCTGGACAATAGGACTTACCCACTCTGTCGTTTCCATATGTTTTGCGCTAGGTGAACTCGCACACAAAATAATGATATATTTTTGTCTTGAATTTAGAAAGAAGAAGAAGTAGTCAAGGCGCATTCGGAATTCGTTGCATAAGCCTAAAAGCTCATTTACTTTAATCTTTCTGGCTGCTCGACAAGTTTCAATGTAATTTTTGGTAGGAGAAACTTTACCTAAGAGCATCAACTTATAAGTATTAGTAGCTTTGCCAGGCAGAGGTCTGACGTTATTGCTCTACTGCGTACACGACCTGTAAATATGCGTAGCAGAAATAGTATACAGGCAATTTCAAATGATAAATGCTAACGGCATGAGGCAAGGCTGAATGCTTCTTAAAAACATGAAAATCTGTGATGAAGCAAGTGAGGGAGGTTTGTGTATTGCAAGAAAAAGTGGTTCATTCTTCCATTATAGATATCGGTGCAACACAAAACTGAAATGCGCTTTTAAAATAGTACAATGTTTATTGGACAATAATGATTGGGGACTTGAGAATGTCTTTCGGTACATGGCGCCTATAGCATTGTTTGAACTAAATGCACCAGCACTGACGGCTGGTGGAACATATCCGTCGCGACAAATGACTTCTATGATCAAATTTTTACCTGTGCGTAGTTGTTGGTAAAACAAACGGGGGTACAGCGTGCGATTATTTCCCGTGAAAAGATGGCATTAACGAACACATGATAAACACCAGTACTCGATATACGCTCATGAAAACTATTGTTACGTGACGTCAGAAATGGTATGGTTTACGCTATCTACTAAATAGTATCATACAGTTGTGCTCCCGCATGCGGTGCCACAGAGCGCAATAAAAATGCGAGAAGCAGATCTCAAAGCTTGAGCCCAAAAGATGCGTGGGGGTCCTGCTGCCTCCTGGCGTGAGTTCATAGTCTAACCCTGAATGACAGAAGGCTTTGGGCTACCCGCTGGAGTGCCTTATTAGAACAAACCACTCACTCTAAGGACATGGTGCGTAGTAGGCCACCTCGTAGCGTTGAAAAAGAAATGCTGGCACTGGAGCAGCCTAGCGCTGAGACGTCTGAAGCACATCGCGCTAGTGTTCACTATCATCATGAGGCAATGCACCCTTTCACCTCTCCAAGACGACCGCACCACCCAAATGCCGACTAGGCCACGGCAAAAGGGAGATGCGAAATAAGTAAAGCGCGTTTGTCGAGGCTCATGCTAGAGCACCTGTGTCATGCTGTTAATAAACGGGAAAAAGTGCTTCTGGCACAGTGGGTATAATGCCTGACTACCATCGTAGCGAACTGAGAGGGCATGGATTCTATTGTAAAACGTCAATAAAACTGAGAAAACTTTTTTTCAGGTTATTTTTAGAGCTGTTCATATAAGTGAAGTCTTGGTCAATTCAGTAATGAAATAACATCGCGTTAAAAAGTGATAGCAGCAATCACTGGCTGCCGGATTTGTTGCACTGTACTACCTTCTGTCGTTCAGTGAAGTAAGGCATGCCGTTCGCTCCTTTAGGAGTCCCCTGCGGCAGAGAGCCAAGTGATTTTGCATTGTTCATGTCTTAAACGCAAAGATTGCAAAGAATGTACAGGTACAAATTTACGAGCCATATTCTGATTCCTCATACAATGCGAAAGACGGTGCGTAGGCTCCAGGTTAGCTGACCTGTTGGTGAAGATGCGCATGAAACGACGCAGCTATGCAGCAACCCTTTAGTGACTCTTGACGCATTCTTTTCGCAGGACAGAACAAAGCAGCCGCATTTCTTGGCTGCTTTAGCGTTGACCCATGGCAGCTCTCGCACTGTTTCACTCGCCCTAGAATACATGACGTGCAAGCCGGTGTTGTCAATTTGGGCTTATGGAAATCATCATGGTCACGCACATGTCAGAAATATGCCTAGAGTTTTTATAATAATGATATGCGTCAAGGAATTGCTTGCTAGAGCCGCGTATTCAAGAACAAGACAGAATTCGTGACGTAAGCAATACAGGTGGTGCATCATGCTAGAGAGCGGCGGTAGGCAGACCAAAGACTTGATAAATGCGTGGGGTGTGATGAGGATAAGTGATGAATACAAGAGGAATATTATATGGCACAAACAATGCTCATGTTAAGACTCACATCATCAACAAAAAGTTTTGAGACATTTAAGATGCCCAAAATTCACAAACGCTCCAGACATGGTACTTCGGAGAAATACACCACTCTATGAAAGTCGAAACTGCAATTTAGACAAAACTGTAACGGTATTATTTCCATTTTTGGCACTTTCAGTGTGCGAACTCTTTGCGCGCGGCAAACAAGCTCCTCATGATCCTACAGCTGGTTGCAATGATTACTTCAAGGAAAATTGTACAGGAGACATCCTTGTACTGTACAACAGTACGTGTGTTACCGAAATTGAAACATCGCCATCAAGCGACATCTACTGTAAAGTCGATGGGTAAATAAAGATACATTTGATCCACAGCAAAACCTTGCATGGTCTTCAATAAAGTTCTCATGTGACAGTGCTGCAATATAAAATAGACCCATATTTAAGGGCGTGTGTGTGTTAAGCATACTAAGTGTGAAAACTGGTGCCTCCAGCGCTCTCATAAGTGCCCTCGCCCTACTTATATAGTGCAAAGAGAGCTGTCTGCAAGAGGGTATGCATACGCTACCATAGAGCCCCTCTCTTTAGTTGGTGTTAAGGCGTGGTTTCCTGAAAATAAAAGACCCGAATAGCTTCTTCTGTTTGTCTAGCCACACTTCAGAAAAGTAGGCATTGTATGAATGCAAACTTGATGAAATGCAAGAAAAAAAGCATTTTAGTTGTTTCGCTGCACTGCAACTCCCAAATACAAGCGAACACCACTCATTACAGTTCGAGATAAGCACTCCGAAGTGGGTTCTGCAACAGCAAAATGCGCATATATTGGGCATACACGTGACGTACAAACTCAAGCAGTGGTTATTAGAATCAGTGCTACGAAGCTCGCTTTATCGGGTCTCGGCAATTTTCGCCTGTGCAATCGCATTTACCACCTCAATTCCTCTCTGTGCGTTGGATTTATTCTTACTCATGCTGAAATGTTCTGTTGATGGTTTGATTCTGTTTGTATATTCTGCAAACTGGGATATGTTCGCAACTGATTTTTAGGTGTACAAGAGAAAGTAGAACCATGGCCTCCGAAATAACTCCAGCGCGGAGGTCGCGATTGCCGCCACTATATCGAATCCCACGGGACGGAAAAAGCTGATTGTGGTCATAACCAACATGTTGCGAATGCCTCGTACGACGCAAGTGTTAACATTTACCTGTTAAAGTCGGCTCTTTGTGCCTACAAAGCGTGCGTGTGATATATTGTGTGATAACAACCAAAGCACAGTATCAAAGGTCGTAGTGTGCACGATGTTAATCGCGTACGTCACCAGTTTGCATTTCACTGTTACTAGAGATGCACCAGTCAGAGGCTCCTCTGAGCTTCATAGTCAAGGCTAACATAATTCTATGTGAAGGCTAGCCCAAAACAATGACAGCCTACTCATATTCTTGCGCTTTCTAATGCTACTTGCTGTGCAGAACGTCAGTAGTTCGCAACTCCAATAAGTACTCTATGTGCTGGCAACACTGGTAAAAAAAAACAAAAAAAAATTGGCAGATCCCACGTCTAGTAGAAATTGTTGGTATGCGAAGCACGAATGAGGACGGTTGATATGTCGCTTTAAAATCAGCACAGTGTTACGAGGGGGAGGTAAATTAGGCCGTACATATTTTCTGTGTCAATTTGCTGGGCAAGGCGACACTACGTTAGCAAAACGTGAGCATACTATAGTCTGACGCCAGGAGTCAACGGTGCGACCAGCGTCCGTCGGCGCGGCATCACCATAGCGTGGCATGACGGCAACTGGTACGAAATGCACAAAGCTGCATTTCGCGCCGATCCTTTACCCAGACAGCACTGCGTCTGCCCCATTTTGTGACGAAGGGATGCCACACGCGCTGAAACGCGTATGCGTCGAAGCAAGGCAGCGCGGCGCACGCCTGCGAGTATATGGCAGGGCTGGCGCCTGGCGTGGCAACATCAGCGTGACGCGACGAAACGAACGCCGGCGAGTGCGCGCCGGGTCATGTCAAAATGCATTGGCGCCTTGACGGTAGGATGAAGTCATGTTCTCACATGACACAAATCTCAAGATTATCATGTTTGCATTAGTCACATACGTTCGTCATCCACTGACGTCACGTAATACCAAATTTGGTTCATGCGAAGCACGCGAAACGGCCGTGAGCGCATCATGAGCGTAGCCTGCAGTCATGTTGTTACATGACATGCATCTCAACATTTTCATGTTTGCTCCAGTCGCATACCTTCTTCATTTATTCATGTACCGTAATACTAAATTCCAAATTTGGTATATGTGACGCTAGTGATACGGCCGCGAATGCATCAAGAGCATGGCATGTATTCATGTTGTTACATGACACACAAGTAATAATTTTTATGTTAGGGTCTGCAGCTTGTGTTCACAATGCAATCATGTCATACCATGCCACATCTGAAACATGTTATGCGAACGAAACCAACGCAAGAGCAGCAGGACAATGAAGTTTAAATCATGACATTCACAACATACAGGTGATGATTTTCATGTTATGATTAGTCAAATGTGCTCGTCATACAGTCATCTTATGCCATACCAAGTTTGGTATTGATACCATAATCGAAACGGCCAGGAGAGCTAAAGGTCGTAGGCAGATAGATAGATAGATAGATAGATAGATAGATAGATAGATATATAGATAGATAGATAGATAGATAGATAGATAGATAGATAGATAGATAGATAGATAGATAGATAGATAGATAGATAGATAGATAGATAGATAGATAGATAGATAGATAGATAGATAGATAGATAGATAGATAGATAGATAGATAGATAGATAGATAGATAGATAGATAGATAGATAGATAGATAGATAGATAGATAGATAGATAGATAGATAGATAGATAGATAGATAGATAGATAGATAAGCTCGAAGTCGCCGAAGTTTGCTAAGAAATGTTCGGCATTTGAAAATGGCAGTGCCTAACAGGGCCAACGCGACACTTTCGCTTGGCGCTGTGCTGAAGTTTCTTGATTGTGGCGTCGGATCACATTGCTTCGTCGAAAGCGAAAGGCCGCGGACCACCTCATTCTCATCGGCATAGAGGATCTTACTCGAAAAGCAGCGGAAATAGTGGCGCTGAGCTCACAAACATCGAGCCTCTTTGGTGAGCAGCATCAAATTTAATTCAGGTAGACGAACATGTCTAGCAAGCCCATAGTTGAACAAGGCAAGTGCTCATGTGTAGCGGACCTGCCCGAAAGTGGCTGCGTTGCTACACTGCTGCAAGCAAGACCTTGACAGTTTTCCTGTTAACTACAGTGGGACGCGTTCTGTCGAATTAATGTATCCCATTGAGTTCCGTTGTCCCGTCAAAAGCTGAATACGCATGTCGTTCACTCGATTAGAGATCGCAGTTATGCCTGGGTCAGTAAATTTTAAAATAAGTGGTACCATAGTTATGACTGTATTAGAAGTGGTACTTTTTTTTTAGTTCATAATTCATGTTACTAATTTTAAATTTCTAGCTATTAGGGTCGTGTGCTTCCAAGCACTCGCTTGCTATGGTTGGCAGTAGTTTATTTAACACATTGAAACATTCGTTTTTCCCAGGACAATTATCGAATAGAACAATCTTAACAACGATGATATTTCGCCGTCATCTTTGAGAATTTTTATTACACAGCTTCAACAATAACTGTGTGTGCTCTATTACATGAAGTAGTACTCTGTATTTCGGTCACTGCAGTGTTTATACTACGCTGGTGGTCATCTTGAATACATTGCTTATTTAATTATGTTTTATGCCCTTGTACCTGTTCACTGCAAATTGCCATTTTTTTTGCATTTTTCTGTCTTCTCAAAGCATGTACATACTATGTCTTATTTTTATTGTTTGGCCAATTTGTAAATTTAACAAGTGTATACCCACTTGGCTAAAACCTTGTTTGAGGGTTGCAGTATTGATAAATTAATAAATAAAATACTATTCAAAGCTGATATATGCATACGCGCCACGGACATAGGATATATAACAGACATGGGCACATAAACACGTTATAAATAAAAAAAATTGGGGGAAGGATTACAGCAACTTATTTTAGATTGCGTAGCAGTGTGACTTGCAGAAAAAAAAACAATATTATGCGAAAAGTTGTTACGCACGTAACGCAACAAAGTTCCTAAAGCATTTGCTTATGTAAACGAAACTGTACTCCGAGAAGCCAGAATGTTAATAAGAATGCACACACGCTAAATAATGCTGTACTCACTGAGAAAAACAGGTCATCCTGGGCAAATTCATAAGAACAAACTACTGCAGTGTTTGTCACCTCTTTCAAATGCCTAAGTTTCTGATTTGCACCAATCTCCGTCGCGCGTCGTCTGCGTCCTTCGGGAAGTGATCGAACAATACATTCTTTCCGCGGCGAATCCACGAATCGCGGCACTTAGCAATGGTCTTTGGACATCGCTTTTATTGGTTGCACGTTAAAGAACCCCAGGTGGTCAAAATTTCCGGAGCCCTCCACGACGGCGTCTCTCATAATCATATAGTGGTTTTGGGACGTTAAACCCCACATATCAATCAATCAATCATCGCTTTTATTAGTTTCGGGGCTCGCGCGTGAGGCATGGTTTAAATAAAGATACTGCGCAGTCGCTTCCTAACGCGCGCAACGTGGTAGCATATCTTCCATCGAGGTTGGCGCAGCTGGTGCAGTTTTCAGTTGCGGCCCCTAGATGTCGAGTGCTCAGTTGGAGTGACTAGTTTGCTTACCCAACAGGTGCGCAACTGCGCTTGTCGAGCGCTCTCGTCATTCTGTTTTGTGCGACAGCTATACGGATCGATCAAACAGAACGTGATTGTTCAGTCTTTTTTAAATGCGAAGCATTTCTTGGCAAACTTCAGCGACATTGAGCTTGTCTATCTATCTATCTATCTATCTATCTATCTATCTATCTATCTATCTATCTATCTATCTATCTATCTATCTATCTATCTATCTATCTATCTATCTATCTATCTATCTAACTATCTATCTATCTATCTATCTATCTATCTATCTATCTATCCATCTATCTATCTATCCACCTACGACTTTGATCGAAAGTCATTCCATGCGTGTCATGCAACATGATTACATGCCACGCTCAAAATGCGCCCACAGCCGTTTCTCTAGGGTCCCACATGCAAAATTTGGTACTACGTAACGTCAATGGATGACGAAGGTACGTGATTAGTGCAAACATGATAATCATGAGGTGTGTGTCATGTAAGAAGATCACTACATGCCACAGCAAAGGCGCCAATGCATTTCGAAGTGACGCGGTGCGCGTGCTTCTCGGCGTTCGTTTCGTCGCTTCACGTAGGTGTGGCCG